AAACTGACAATGCCATGGCAAAACACAAAATATGACGAAAAGACAAACAGCAGTACACAATACACAACATAGAAAACTAAAGACTGATAAAAACGAACCCGACCAAAAACCAGGGGAAATCTCGGGTGCTTTGGAAGGGTAAGCATCTCCTTCTCCACATGTAACACCCGTCGTGTTACTCCTATAAAATATTTTCATTGGCTATATCAAGTGAATCTGTAGCACACGTTAGTGGATTGGTAATTGACAGTTATCGAACTCTAAGACAGCAACAAATTCATCAACAATCAACATTCATAAAGTGTTCTTTACATTTTTATACAGAGAACTGTGTTATTTAAGTAAGAATCACTTAGATTGTATGGCATTGCAAAGTTTTTACAAACTTTACGGATATGCATATAGATATACATATAAATATGAAATTTTCTAACTCACTTTGTCCCTTTAAGATACTCTTGTATGTTATTTGGCTGAAGTAGATTTTACGCAACCACATGAGCATGCAACTACTAGATACTTCACTTCTTCACGAGAATGAATAGTAGAAAAATGATCAGAAATATTAGATAAATGAGTGGAATACAGATATTTAATATAGTACTCCCCACAAATAAATGTCTTACATGGGATTCGAAAAGTGAACGAAAGAGTTAAAAATTATACACGTCAGATACGTCTTTTTGGGGAATACGTTACCATATGAATCACAGGATATATAGTGTGGTATTTTAATCAAGATTCTTCCATGGGAACTGGAACACACTGGACATGGTGATTTAAAAACGGATTGAAATATATATATTATGATTATTATGAACTTTAGCACCCGAAGAAATCGATTGAGTTTTTACAACTATAAATTGACTAAAACATAGATGAACTACAAAAACGCGACACAGTAGTGTGTGAAAATATTTGTTTGAATGTTTTGAAAATGCTTTCAGATGGTCAACCGTTTGATGAAGTGACGTTTTGATTAAAATTATGAAAAAGAAAGATGGTAGATTAATTTGTATTTGTAAAAGACGAGCGAGCATTGTTACTCTTTTCGTGAACCTCGATGGTAAAACGAATGCAGCCCGGATTATGCAGAACCACTCAATTAGTAATCCCTCCGAGCAAAATAAGGAGATGAACCGATGAAGAAAGGCTGGTATACAAAGAATTTGCTTGAATTGGTCGCAAACATGAAAAAAAAATAATAAAAAAATTGTTAAAAGCATGTTATCGATGGGTGCAGAAATCAAGGAATACCTCGATGTGATTGTTCAATCGAAACTTACGGATAAATCTAAACAATCACTTACAACCGCAGATGACAAGATAGAGGTTAAAAAGCATCAACGTCCTTTTTAACATACTAGGTGCAAACAGAAGTTAGAGAAGAAATTTCTACTTAAGAAAAAAATCCAGGCTTAGTTATTTTTCAAAATAGGTCCAAAGTTGGGGTCGGACACCCTACCCCAACCATACGGATCAGTTAATAAAAAATTCCATACGGCAATACTTTTTTTGCCACTAGGTGCAAAGTGAAGCTAAGTAGCTGGGGTTTACTTGAGAAAAAATCCAGGGTGTGGTTAGGCTTACTTTTTTTTTTAAATCAGGTCCAAAGTTGGGGTCGGACACCCTACCCCAACCATACGGATCAGTTAACAAAAAATTCCATACGGCAATACTTTTTTTGCCACTAGGTGCAAAGTGAAGCTAAGTAGCTGGGGTTTACTTGAGAAAAAATCCAGGGTGTGGTTAGGCTTACTTTTTTTTTTAAATAAGGTCCAAAGTTGGGGTCGGACACCCTACCCCAACCATACGGATCAGTTAATAAAAAATTCCATACGGCAATACTTTTTTCGAAACTATGGTTGATACGAAAGCTTGTGATCTACGGACTGCTTGACCAAAATTCCAAATCGGGGTACAATACGGATTTTTTTTAAATAGGTAAAAATAATTTCCTTGCCCACCATAACTTGTGCACAAAAAATAAACCTTTCGTCTAATCAAAAGTAAGCGAAATCCATTCGGTTAGAAATAGAATGTTTCGTTAAATAGCTTTGTTTGATTTAAACAGATATTACAGCACGAGTGCAACTGTCTATTTTTGTAATGCAGAACCATTTTTATTTTTCGGGAACTATTTGACAGGATGCCGAGAATATGGAAAGCAGTTTGACACAATATCACAAAATAATTTTTGATGTCAAATTTAATTCCATGAAGCAATGTTGACAGCATTTTAAAAAATTTATAGTTATTAATGTGTATTCGACTGCTTCATTAGAAATTAAAAACTGATACTATAGTGGTTATATATCAAAAAAACATTTTGAGTACGTTTGAATCTTATGCAACTTTTGGGTTCATAGACATATCCAAATACTGGCTGCTAGCATAGTGGCTGCTAGCGAGTGGCTGCTAGCTTGAGTCTGGTTAACCCGGCCGCATTATTTGTGTTCCTGTCTACAAGCCATAAACATGTAATATTAAAAGTGGTTGTCCTTGGTAAAATTAAAATTTTGTTTACGTTTTATTATTTTAAAATGAATAAAATACACATATTATTGTTTATAAGCATGGAAAATGCAAATTCATTTTTCATATTGCTGCGCATATTAACCAATATGATTGCAAGATTCTTGCTTCATAAGAATTTATACCTTATATAATTATGTGATGAATACTATTATTATATTAGACTTTTTCACCTTTGGCATCAATTAGTACTATTAATAGTATTATTGTAAAGATAAGCGCGCATTTTTTAACCGAAAAAAAACAACCTTATTTACACCAAACCAATTTATTGTTTTTTATTCAGACATGCATGCGTAATCAACAAACACCACAAAACGAACTCTGCTAAATTATTATTGGTGTCATGTTGTTCTAGAAGAGTCGTGAAATACTGCTCTGTAACTGTCCTATTTCCAATTGGTCATCGCTGGTCTTTTGTAAAAGCCTAGTCAAACGTGGCTGGCTTTAAAACGAAACTTATTATGACCCTTCATAATTTATCTGAAACCGATTCCATAGCTGATAAAGACGTGACTGTACATATCAAAAAACAAATACAAGATACTGAGGCCATTTTGATGCACACTATTTGCATATTGAAAATCGCTTTCTCCTTAAAATGCAAATTTTTTTACATGACAACATTCGAAACAATTCAAACCAAAAAACCGACGGCGTGATTTATGACAAAATGATACACATATATATGACAGATAGTAACCAACGTCAACTACTGAATAACAGGCTCCTGATTTAGGACTGCCTGGGATCTTTGATGAGTTTTTATTAAGACAAAAGGCACAAAATTTGATCTTAGAGTACTCACAGTTTCTGAAAGCTAGTTCAAATCCATTAACAACTAATGAATAAATCATGTTCTCCCAGACCAAATGGCTTGAGAGAAAAATACTGCATTATTTGGCTGTCTGTAATGTTTTACGGAACTATAAATCATACACTAATTTGATGAAGCTGTTTCAAATCCTTTCTGGAATATTTTTATACCCAATTGCTTATAGCGATCTTACACAAATATATATGCATTAAAGTCATAAAGTCAACCGAGAGACGGAATTGCGAAATGAAACTATTTGAAAATCTGCATTTTTCTTACCACACATTTGTTCTTGTCATAGATGGTTAGATGATAAATCTAAAGAAAGGAGTTACTAACTCTGTTCTTTTACTGCAGATTCAAAAATTGGTGAGTTTCTAGGCCTGATATGTAATAAATTTGAAAACCAAAATCATCTCAAAAGTTCTCAACCGGATGAAGACAACAATTACAGAAAGTTTTCTCATGTGGTACAAAGTTCTATTCGATTGTTATTTCGTTACGTAAAATTATCTGACCAATATTGCGAAAAGTGTAGAAACCAATTTCACGAAAACCGCTAAATCAGTTTGTATTAGAAGTTACATATTCAAAGACTATCTTTTCCCTCAACGATTGGTACTTACCTTCACATATTAGGTTAATGTCGATTGGCAAAGAAACAATATTTAAGATCCATGTTCGCATGCAGAAAACTTTCTGTAGTTTTGAGGTTGTAGAAAAGTATAACAAAAATACCGAAATCCAAGATAAAAAATTCAAAATGGGGAAGTCCATTAAAACGGACAAAATTAAACGCTATCAATCAACGGAACAAGTGAAAACAACTGCCATATTCCTGACTAGGAACAGACATTTTCCGAAGAAAATGGTGGGTTGCAGATTATTGCGCCAGAATTTTGACAAACGTTTGAAATATTTTTTAATAAAATTTAGAAGATTTCAGTACATAATATCTAAGATTTATCGGTTTCAATGTATTATACCAATGAAAATTGAAAGGATATATAAATTATATAAACTTGTACACGTGATATTTTTTTCTGCATATATTGTATACAAGAGCACGGCAATAAAAAAAAATATTGGGACATAATTATTATCTTTTATGTGAACAGATGTACATAAATCAAACGAAAAAACAAACCAATTTTGTATTGCCAAATGTGGCGCCCCTAAAGGCAGTGTTATAAAAAGACCGGGAAAAAAGTTTAAACAAGTATAAAGGGTGATGAACATATGCATTTTTAAGAATAACATTTTATGATATACTTGTGTTTTCGGGTAAATTTGTGAGCAATTTAAACGCGATACGTACCGAATATCAGGTTGTCTGCAGATTGAAATTGTAAAATATTTGTCGAGTGAGCGCAGCAAACGAGTTCTAAAAAGCTTCATATTGTGTCGAGCAGCTGATATTTTACAATATAAATATGCAGATAACCAGATAATCGATTTATTGGGTTGTATTTGCGCATTTTTCATGATAGAAACAAGTTTTTTGTTTGTTTCACCAGCAAACCGTAAGATGACTTGATAAGTTCTGGGCAAACTTATCAACGTAGGTTTATTCATTATGATGTCGGTGATATGTCCGGGTCTAAGTTATTAAGGCCGCATGCCGGGTAAACGTATTTAACGTCAAAAAGCCGTGATATGCAATTTTATTAAGAGCTAAGCAGAGTGATACAGACAGTGGGACGAACGATGAAATAAAATATAATAATCGTTTGAGCTCTATTAAAAAGACACATGTATATCGAAATGACTACAATGCAAACAATGTTACTGCTTTGATGTTAAGTAATTGTTTACCATATGGTAATATTATAGTTTTACATCATATTTTGTCTATTTTTGGTAATACAAAGTTAAGCATATTAAGTTTAACTAACAATCTGAAGGTAGAGCATCTATATATTCTGTTTTAATTATTTATTCCCTTCATCAGGATGTGTTACTCTACTTTTGTTCACGACGGCATACGTTGCACTTGTAGAAGCTGTTTCTATGTTTTTGACAGAGCTATTTGTTTTATGACTTTTATCTACAACTGCATACATACAACCACTTTCTGTAGGGGCATTTATATGTTCAACGCCATTATCTTCATTGACTTCTATAGCAGTATTGGTGACTTGATGTGTATATAGACTTGAATCTTGAATGTTTCTGTTGTCGTCAACTGTACTATAATCACCATCGTCTTCACCACTTATATGTCTAGGTATATCTCCATCTGCAGTAGAATAATTAACATCGATATCGTCATGTCGTTCGGACGAGACATACAGCACATTGTATTTCAGACCATCGTCGTCATCGTTGTCGGCGGCAGAGGAAGCTCTGCAGTTTGCACTGTTTTTCCCTTTACCAGAATGCGACTTTCTCCTGAAAGTGTATAAAATATTGTGTACGTTTGAATAACAGAGTCGAAATTACAATTATTTTATATTTTTTTCCTGTATGTCAAATTGTTTTCAGTGGCGGATCCAGGATACGCCCCCCCCCCTTTTTTTTTTTTTGATCGCCAAAAAAAAATAAATGAAAATCATGTTTCTCACGATTATAGAAAATACTTTTTTTTAGCTAATATCGTTCAAAAGATTTTTCGCCTAACTCCGCTCGGCAGTTTCTATTACGTTATATGGAATTACGCCCCCATTTAAAATCCTGGATCCACCTCTGGTTTTTATACATCTAATTTGATGAAACAATTCAATTATATATTATCACAGCTATCATTTTTGTTTTGACTTAAATATAATCCATCAGCAATGTAAAAATGTAATGAGTTGTCGTAGGCGCTACAATGCAGGCGGTGTTGTCGTTGGCGCATCTATAGCTTGAGTTTGCGTTAAGTATGGTTACACATACCTTTTACGAACTAATTTTGAAAATGTTTGCACAACTCGTATAAAATTAGAAAACAATAGTATTAGTTAAATGTAAAATCAATAGCAAAATGAAATACATTAACTTTGTGATATAATACTGCTGACATATAACTTTATTGTTCAGTCTATAGTTTTTTTATGTTGTGTTTTGTATACTGTTTTTTGTCTTTTTGTCGTTTTTAGTTTTTTGCCATGATGTTGTCAGTTTTTTTCTACTAATGAGTTTGAATGTCCCTTTAGTTTCTTTCGCCTCCTTTTTCTTTTCCACTTTTTTACTCTAATAAACATTTTTCAGATTTTGTTTTTTAAAACTAATTTGGTTATTTTATTGCTAAAAATTACAATTCTAGAAAATAAAATTTATAGAATTAAATCGAAAGTTTAAAGTTTCTTTTTGAGTCTTGTTTCTCAAGTATAAGCACAGTAATCTAGGAAAACGTGCAATGAGTTGTCAAAACCGTAGCCTAAAACATACAGGTGTCTTCACAATATGTAAAGGACTATAGCAACCTAAAGTCATTAAATTTCGATATCAAATATTTGCTGCTAACACTAAAATAATACACAGAAATCAAACTAATTTCCAGTGCACTTAAGTAGACTAAGATTCACTTAAAAATGTACTATTTGATCAATACTGAAAACATCAGAATTGTATATATTCCTTGTCACTGGAAAGCTAAATACAAGTTACAGATTTCTGACAAACCAGGAAAATTATAAAAAGCCTGGTCTGTGACAGTTTACACATATTGAAATTAAAAAAAACTATTGATCTATACAGTGCTAATATTAACTACGAAATGAAGAATGTACCTTTGAACTACAATACTTTGAAAAGGAGGAGTTAGCATGGACCTCTAATTGTAAATTGGGAACGATTTAAACGCTAATTGAAGTTTTTTTTCTTTTGCAATATATTATCATATTAGGAAATAAGCATATTTGGGAAGAAAACAAAATATTTGCAGAATAGCTAAAGAAATCTTTTTTCATGCTTCAAGAATATATCTGTCTTTAGAAATATATTAACGAAAAATCCTAGCATTATCGGGCAAACTATGGACTGGAGTATATTGTCCTTAAATACAAACGGAAAAGCCATACATCATACATAAAAGCAATTTTCTCACCATTTAGATATTTGTGTTGAAGTACAGAATGTATAGGCCACATTCCAACTTTTGCTACTAAATATTAATTTCGGCATATAATGTAAGTTTTGACTTTAATATCTTGATTTATAAAATAAACATGTTTTCCTTATTCATTACAATGAATACATGTACCTTTTGCATAACACAATCAGTACTAGTAATGATACAAATAAAACAAACCCACCACCTGCTCCAATAGCTATATAAAGTGTACTGTCACCTATAAAAAAAATATCAAAGGACTGGCTGAAAATTGTTTATACAAGATACAGTACGCTAATTAAAATTCCAATGAGACACCATCCCCCAAAGAAAAAATGATATAATACAACCACTGGTAACCGACATAACGTTTTGTTCTAAGGACACATTTAACTTGACAATATTTGGTGAAAATGTGTGTATTTCTTTCTTTTAGTTGTTACTCTTTATAAGATCCTATGTATAATGTTGATGACAGATCACAAATGTTTATACGGTTACAAGTAGTACAATTCTTCCTTTTATACTTCAATACCAGGGTTTTTGCTAATTGCATGCATGCCGTCTTAAAACGTTAGTTAAGATATAAGTGTTTCTGTTTGCAAGTCCAAAAGGTTTAACTGAGATGACTGTAGCTATCACGTTTGTCTCTCTTATTAGCTATGCCAACAAACATTTAAGGATATGTGTATTACTTTGATCAGAAGTCTATTGATTGAATACCATATCAAGCAAACGATATTTAAAATTAAATTAAGAAAACTGATAATTGATTTATCCGGTTAAGCCGGCGCGGTTATCGTGATTACAGCTATATGTTTCGTATGTCTTCCTAACTTATCAGAAATGAAATCATTTTTAATTTGCTATGAACAGTTCTCCTCTTCTTTCTTGTCAACTATTTCTTGATTCATATGAAGCAAAATGCATTCAGACGTTCTTCAGTAGAACGTCGATAGAAAGGGAACTGACACTATGCTTTAACTATGATGAATCATTTAACTCAAACCCTTGATTTATTTGGGGTTAGTGTGATCAATTTTTTTTTTTATGTGTGGCATTGTGAAATTGTTAGTTTTATTGTTTTTTTGTTTTCTTTTGACCCTATTTTTAAATTGTTTCCTTGATTATATTCTTTTTTTGTTTTGTTTCTTAAACCAGCTCAAACAGTTTGATGTCGAACTGTGACAAGAATATTGCCAGCTAATCAAACATATTTTTTAAACATCATAAAGAAGTAACGTCGAATTTAACGAAGAACCGAACATTGAGAAATATTTTCTAAGTCATTACTTACCATCAGAATCAGTCTTGTCATTTATTTTGGATGTATCAATCATAGGCGTCGTAGATGACATTAATGATGTAATTTGTTCCGAAGATTTGAAATCGTTGAGAGTTGTCTGAGTTTGGGTTGGTGTATCGCTGAGACTAGCCTGAGGGTTTGTTGTTATATCGCTTAAAGTTGTCTGAGGGTTTGTTGTTATATCGCTGAAAGTTGTCTGAGCGTGTATTGGGGTAACTGTTGTAGTCGTAAGTTTCTGATTATCGCATGATATTTCTAGAAAACTATCATTATTGCCTTTCTTGTTTTCTGTAGGTTGGACATTAATTATGAAAAAGATGTGCAAAATAAAATAAAAACATATATAAAGAGGTTATAACAATTCCTAAATCAATGAAGGACAGGGAACTTCTTAACAAAAATAGACATCAGTTTTGTCTTTGTATATACAACAAACAAACAGCTGGCCACGATGACATGTGTATCAGATTTTCGTAATGTTTGTCATAAAGTATAAATCTAACGAAAAATAATAGAGACGATAGAAACGAAAGCAACAGTCATTTTATAAGACTTCTAAAGGGTGGATAAGCTTTTGCTAATAAAAATTCTGATGTTAAATACATATCAATAAAACATTTAACACAAATTCAGAACAATGCAACACGAACTCCTTCAAACACCGCGTTGAAATCAAGTGGTCACGAAAGTCCACCTTCAGCAGTGGCATCAAATATGTTGCCCGTGACAAGCAGTAGACATCTAGTGGTATGTTGCATTCGGTGATGCCATGAACCTGACAGAAAGGGAGATTATGGCAACTACAAATGTAAAATCCTCGTCGTAATGTTCGACACGTCTTTTGATAACGTACTAAAGAACAAACAAATCATGATCGCGTTCGTTAATTTTTCGAAGAGATAGCTTCCATTTCTAATAACCAATGTTCGACCTTGTATTAACTTTTTTTTTTCACTTCAGCATTTGCAATATGGATAACTAGTCTATCCCGTTTGAATGGTTTTACACTAGTAATTTTTGGGGCCCTTTATAGCTTGCTGTGCGGTGTGAGCCAAGGCTCCATGTTGAAGACCGTACTTTGACCTATAATGGCTTACTTTTATAAATTGTAACTTGGATGGAGAGTTGTCTCATTGGCACTCATACCACATTTTCTTATATCTATTTAATAATATATAATGAAACTGCTTAATATATGTACAAATGAGGAGATGTGGTATGAGGATCAGAAATTTTTAAATTTGACATAAAAAGACAACTGAGATAGGTCTTGGCCAATTTTATTCATTAATACACCTTGTCGCTATTTATTCCAATCCGGAAAAGTTCTGGAATCGCAACTTTTTCATAACGTCACATTCCAGTTGAATTATCTGGGGCCCTGTTCAAACAAAGTATTATGCATGAAAATTTTCATAGAGACATGTTTAAACCATCGTAAACACTTTAAACAAAGCGTGTTTGTTACTTTATTTATTGTTTAAAACATTTGTATCATAAAATATCCAAATCTCAAAATGTTCACTTTCTAAACTTTTCCTTTCCTCAGCTCATTACTGATGACCTTTGTTTGTGCGACACTTGACCCAAACAGGAAGTTGTCTAAATAACTTTTTTTTCAGGAATGGACACAATATCGATAAGGTGTATTGAAAACAATAAGAATGAAAAAACTCAACACCCTATAACCAAAATGTTCAGGAAGTGCATCTGTACTATCTCACTTAAATAAATTTGTAAAAGAAAGAAATACAGTGACAACTAGCCATATACCTTTTTGGAGAATTTCATTTAATAAATGGAGAGATTGAAGTTGATCAATCACTACTGATAAAGGGAGAGCTAAACCGTATATGTTTAAAAAGTAATCATAGCTGAAGAATTTGACATTTTTTTGTGTAGTGCAGTCAATGTAAATACACTTAAAAGATCAATGATATTACAAAATTACAAAATGAGTAAACTTAGGTAGCGAAGGCTGCATCCGAGTTGTATTTAATACATGTATCAACAGTACAAAATGAAACTGACTGAAATGGCGGCAGGTAGTGGCGGACTTAAAATAGCTCTCCTTATTTTTGGTGTTTTTACACGTTTACAGCCAGAGAAAACTTACCATTCAGATCTCAATGAGGTAAAAGCCGAAAATCTTGGTTTCTACGCCTGTTCACAAACTTCAAGGGAGAATGAATTAGACTTTGTCATCAAAATATTTTGTCCTAGCCAACTCGACTACTCACAACATAGCCGACCAGAAAAAAATTCACTTGAACATAGGAAGATCAAAACTACATCCAAATTCTGTTTTATATTAACAATTTTACTATGTGGTGATATTCACATCAATCCAGGGCCTATCAAACATCCCTGTACAGATTGCAAAAAATCAGTGAAGTCAAACCAAAAGGCCTTTTAATGTGACTTTTGCGACAACTGGACACATCTTAAACGTATAAACATCTCAAGTACACAATATCACATCTTATCAACGACAGATGATACATTTTATTGCTATGGATGCAGCCAGCGACTCCCAAACTTTACGGAATCGTTTTTAATGATACCTGTAGTTCCAGTTTTAACCTATCTGGAAGTTCACAAAATGGGTCAATTAATATTGTAAACAGTAACTCGGGAGATGAACATCAATATGATATATTTTAGAACTAAGGAAGCACCCTGATACATTTACGTGTGCATACCTTAATATCAACAGCCTAAGGTGCAAATTCTGTTCCATAAAAGAACTTCTATGTAAAAACACCGTAGATATGCTGATTATAGCAGAAACAAAAATAGATGACTCTTTTCCAGACGCTCTATTTAAAGTCGATAATTTCCACTTCTGGAGGAAAGACCGAACATCTCATGGTGGTGGACTTGTTATGTATGTTAAATCTGACATAGCATGCGACAGAAAAGACAAATATGAACTTGAATTTACTGAATCAATTATGGTAGAAATGCATATTAATAATAGAAAATGGTTAATTGCAGGACTTTATAGACCTCCTACAATAAAAGATGATAATTTTAAAAATGAGTTTATATGTACATGTGATAAATTATCAACCATTTATGATAATGTTCTTCTACTTGGTGACTTAAATTATAACATGCTCTCCCAGCAAAAATGTACCCCCCTAAATGATATCTGTGATATTTTTGATTTCACAAATTAGGTAAATAAACCAACTTGTCTCACAAAACATGCCCCTGCTACCTTAAATGATGTTATTCTTACAAACCAAACAACTTATGGTCAAAACATTTTAAATTTCAACTGTGGTTTGAGTGATGTACACAACATTATTTCCACTCAAATTAAGGGCAAACTACCAAAAATAAATAAAGATTTAATAAATTACAGAAGTTTCAAACACTTTGATCAGGAAAATATTTTTACAGATTTAAATGGAAAAAACTAAACTGCTATAATAGAAGAATCAGCAGATGTTAATACAGCATATGACACATTTGAGACAAATTTCATGGAGGTTATAGACAAACATATACCGATGAAAAAAAAAAGCCATCAACAAACCAGCACCTTTCATGAATCAAACTTTACGAAGGGAAATATATAAAAAAAAGAATGGCATATAACAAATATCAAAATTTTTAAAATAAATCAAACTGGAAATCTTACAGAAAACAAAGAAATTTGGTAAATAAAATTAAAAAGAAATCCAGCAGAAACTATTTCATGGAAAGATGTGTAGGAGGACCATACAGCAAAGATTTTTGGCCAACTATCAAGCCCTTTCTAACTAATAAAGGTTCACATTTTTCTAAAGATCTAATCTTATGTGAAGATAATAAAATAATTAATAATCAAAATGAAGTTGCAGAATTATTTAATAACTTTTTATAAATGTTGCCAAAGATATCGGCTCAAAAGATACAATTATTAATGAACACCATCCAAGCATTAAAGTTATAAAAGAAAACAAACCAGAAAAAGAAGAACTATATTTTAGCCCAGTAAACTCTGAGTTTGTAAAAAAAACAAATCAATAAAATTAATATTAAAAAGGCAACAGGAAAAGATGGAATCTCTTCAAAAATATTAAAACTATCCGAATCTGAATTATCCAATCCAATTTCTAAATTAATAAATAAATCATTTGCATTAGCTGTTTTCCCAGATAAATTAAAAGAAGCGCAAGTAATACATCTGCATAAAAAATCAAACACTCTAGATAAAGGAAACTATAGACCTGTAAGTATATTGCCCATGATTTCAAAAAATTTTGAGAGGTCTATAGAAAATCAACTTGTGGAATATTTTAATTCATTTTTCCACATTTTTCTGTCAGCTTTTCGAAAAGGATACGGATGCCAAACCGCTTTATTAAAAATAATTGAAGATTGGAAAAAGGCTTTAGACGAGAATAAATATGCAGCAGCTATATTAATGGACTTGTCACCAAGGCTTTTGACTGCCTACCCCACGACCTCCTATTAAAATCCTATGGTGTCTCCGCCTCTTCCCTTAAACTTTTGGAAAGCTATTTAACTAATAGAAAACAGTGTGTTAAAGTAGGTATTTATTCAAGCTACTGGCAAACAATGTTTAAAGGGGTGCCACAAGGGTCTATATTAGGGCCGACATTATTTAATATATTTTAAATGACATTTTCTATTTTATTCACAAAAGTGAACTCTATAATTATGCAGATGACAACACCCTTTCATACGCAGATAAAGATTTAGATAAATTAATTAATACTTTAGAAGATGAAAGCAAAATTTTGATTAATTGGTTCTCAATAAATAAAATGAAAGCTAATCCAGAAAAATTTAAAGCAATAGCTGTAGGTAAAAAAACTAAAGACAAAAACCTAAAATTTAAATCAGAAGGTAATGAAATAGAATGTGAAGATAACGTTAAACTTCTAGGTGTAACAATAGATTTTAAACTAAATTTCAATGAACATGTCTCTATAATATGTAAAAAAAGCATCCAAACAGCTAAATGTATTAAAAGGAATAGGTAAACACCTGACTAAACTCGGAAAATTAACAATTTATTATTCTTTCATAATGTCCAACTTTAATTACTGCCCACTAGTTTGACACTTTTGTGGGGATGTTAATACAAAAAAAGATAGAGAAAATTCAAGAGAGAGCACTAAAGTTTATCTTTGAGGACTATTCAGCAAGTTATGAAGATTTACTCTGCAAATCAAAATTATCATCTTTCAAAATAAGAAGAATGCGATCATTGGCTATTGAAGTTTTCAAAATTATTTATAAAGATTGTCCTGTTTATCTCCATGACTTAAAGGAAAACACTTACTTTTTCGGATACCAGAATACAGCCGACATACCACATGTAAGAACAACTGCATATTGCCTACAATCTTTAAGGTATGCGGGTGCTAAGCTTTGGAATGAGCTGCCAGATGAGCTATGTAAGCAATCATCTTTAAATCAATTCAAGAACTTGATAAATTCTTGGTCTGGCAGCTCACGTCAATATTTTGCCCTGCAAAACCAGTTAATTTTTGTTCATTATTTTTGGTTTAATGCTTTATTTTCAGCATGTCAAATTTATTTTGTTATCTTTACTATTATAGTGCTTCTGCTGCTTTGTGCTATTTTAGTTGTTTACCTAATATATATATGTGCTTTTAATTTGCAAACCATTTTATTTTTGCTTTTGTGTTTTTATCTCATAAGTGCATGTTTCAGTGTGAGTTGAACTTGTAAGATGCTTAAAGAACTTTTATGCTGCATGTTTCCATACTGCATGTACTGATATGAACTCTTGCTTTATATGTTTAATTTATGTGTGCATATTAAGTACGTTTTGTTTTATTGTTGCTCTGTCGGTTTTAAAAGCTCTTCAGAGCTTATGTTTGTACTTGTATTGCATATACCGACTCTAAATAAAGCTTTTTGTCTTATGTCTTATGTCAAGTATTCGTTGTATTAGCTAAATTACCTAATTTATAGAGTGTCCTGACTAATTGACATGTCTTTTTTGACGTGTACATTTTAAAAGTATATGATAACATAGATTAAGCATCATTAAAGCATTTCATTGTCATTTTTATGTATAAAAAGCCATATTAATACCGATGTACAGAAGCGTATTAGCGCCACACAAACTTGTTTTTTTAATATTTGTTCCTATGTTTGCGTTATTAAAGCAAACATTTGCGTTATAAACATTTGCGAAATAACGCGAACCTTTGCGAAATAAACGCAAACATTTGTTTTGTCTTATTTTTATTAAAGTTTCAAGGGAAGCAGCTGTTATAAATGGAGGATGCTGCAAGTATTAAAATTAATCACCCTTTGTACTTATTGCAAGGTAAAATGCTTCAGTGTTTAGCACATATCATGGCCTAATAATGAGCAAGAGAATCCATGTATATATAGATTACAAAAGAAAGATTGAGTAAATTTAAGTTATACAAAAGAAAATTAAAAACCAACCCTGTTGATGTAGCCAAATCTAAATATGCTTCCAAAGTAAGCGCTCATTTGAGCATTGTGTAAGATTGGTTAGATCCAAAAAAAGCTACCCTAGTGAAATACATGTATAAGATGAAGATTTTTTATTTTTATGATTATGTATTCTACATTCAAACTGCTACCCAAGCATCTTAAATAACTACCTGCTCTTTGGTCGGGTTGTTTTGGGTTTTTTTTTTTGGCACATTCCCCATTACATTCTCAATTTTATATTTTATCTCACTAGAATGAAATTTAAAACCCAAAGAATTTTTATCAAAGAATCTTTATCATATTCTGAGATTTCAACAAACGATTTCTTACATCAAATTTATTTTTTTTTTATTAAAAAATTTTATTTTAAAGCCGAAAGATCATTTTGTCTATTTGACTTTCACAATTGTATGATTTTTTTTTTTTTGCTCTTCTCTACTTTGCCACTTCCCGTAAATCAAAATTTTCAAAACCTTGGTCTTTCCATTCAAATTTTCCTATACCAAATCTTTTTTCATGTTAAATTTATTAAATTTTCTGATACAAAAATCTTTCTTATTTTGAGTATAATTGCGATACAAGTATTCCCTTATTCCTATGTACATTTATTATAATTATTTGGCCTTGTGTTCGTGGTCCTTCTCTTAACTAAATCATAACCAAATTTTACTGGCTGACGGACATGCAAATGCCGATTTATACAAAACACTGCTTATAAAATTATATAAAAAAAATGAAATGTAAATTCAATATAACAGTTCTTGACTATAAGATATTCAAAACTTGAATAATTAAAAACAAAATGTTTGCGTTATATAACGCAAAGGTTTGCGTTAATTCACAAATGTTTGCGTTATTACTCAAGTTTGACTCAAACGCCATTATTAATTCCCAATGGAACTAAATTTTTCACCCATAAAACATTATCTAGTAACTTGAACTATAATTCAACGTTTAACAAATAACCAAACGACATCTAGAAGGCAACACTAAACAGATTTTAATGCAATGTGTCAAAAAGCTGTCAATAAACTAAACAGAAATTATGAAGGAACCGCAAACAACGAAAAACACTATTTGTCAAAACACAACCACTGACCAGTAATTCTTTTCTTTTAGTTATGTAACTAAAACATAGTAGTCGGGCGTTAGTGTAGATGGATCTAACGGATATTTATGACATTTTGCAAACAGCTATAGATACTATAGGAACTGTAGTACAATGAAAGCATGAAGAGGCATCTGTAGGTAAAGGTTAGTTTTCGGTTGGTTTTTATGCCCCCGTCGTAGGCAACCGAGGGATTAAGTGTTACCCTTGACCGTTCTTCCATCCTTCCGTCCGTCCATCCATCCGTCTTTCCGTCCGTCCGTCTTTCCTTCCGTCCGTCCGTCCGTCCGACCGTCCCATTTTTGTTTCCACACTCTAACTTAAGTTTGTCTCATCCAAATTTAATGAAATTCATACACAATGCTAAGAACTACAATATGCAGACAGAGTTCAAATAAGGGTTGTGAGTCATTTACCGTTCTAGAGAAATGCCCTTTTCAACTTGGAAAATATGCAAAGCTTGAGCGGTGGACATTCGTGTCCTAAGACACATTCTTCTTTTATTTTTTCAATGACCACCCCACGATTTGTGGTTACGTCACCTTTCCCTTGAACAATTGTTTACATTTTTTTATGTTCTTTTATGTAAATATTATTTCATACCGTTGAATTATAATATTGCTCAATTTATAAACACTCATAGTTTCTTCTGTATTAAGCTTTAATGCGAAGCGATGTCATTATTTTGAAGTTGTAGCAACTTCTATATAAAATTTAGATTTTAAAATATCGTTGATGCCCAAAAAAGTTGGAATTTTTCATCAATATCATTTTGTAAGAGAGTATTTCAAACACAACAAACAGTTTTGGTTTTTTTTTTTAACTTATCACAATTAGTACAACAATAGACGATTCTATTTTGACTACCAGCTGGGTGCAGAGAAAGATCTTGTGTGCAATAAATAATATGCATGTTTAACACAGTCATTCAAACCTCACTGGTATATCTACGAAATATGTGTAAAATGAAAATTTCTAACGAACCTATTTCTATCTGTATGCAGTATCCGTTTGAAAAATTTCCGTCTACTACTCTGGATATGAACTGTAGATACTCAATATCCAAAATAGAAAGACGTTTCGTATTCTCTTCACTGGTACATTTAGTAGCGAGTTGGTCAAGTAGATTAATTTGGTTTGGTCTAATGAAATAGATATCTATTTCTATTCCACACGATAACTGTTCTGTAAGGTTGTTAAGTCGTTTGATAGACAGGTCTACATGGTTTTTTGCGTTCTTTACTGATACAATACAAGAACAGTTATTTTCTTGCTCTATTAGAGAAAGAAATATACTATTGCTGTATTTATCATTCTTCACCGCTGTTGATTGGCACATTTCCGCCACTGAAATATATATATGAATATAAAAGTCTTTAGATTTGCGCAACAATACTAATATAAGATGGCAATATACGTCAACTTTATCAACACCTTGAGTTTGATTAAAATTGAACCAGATTGGAGTGTTCTACAAGATGGAAGAAAGTTAAGTATCAACATGGCAAAAATCTAAAAAGGCCACATGCCATATAATATCGTACTCTGCAAATTTACCACAACAATAATACAGATTTTTACAATCCAACAAATAGATACGTTGTCTAAGTATTTCTCTTTTATTTTAAAGTCGTACATAAAATGATTTTCAACCAATAGGAAGGGAAAGTTATTTTTTTGTCAATTATCTGCATACAATTCTGTTCTTTCGGAACGAAATCAGAGAAAGGTAAGGACATTCACTAAATATTTGAAGTGTGTGTAATGAAAAACTTCGAACAAGCAATCCACATGTAAATTATCAAGAAAAATATAACCTGTCATACATTTTTTTGTATAATGATCAGTGATGCAAAAGTGTTAGTTTATCAATATATTGCAAAAGCTTCAAAAGTCATACAAAATGCCTTAGTCGTGATATTTGATGGTTTTCCTTTTGTTTCCAAAATGTTTTACATGAATAAGAAAGATTGGTTATAGCGTCTACCCAAATGGGTTAATGTGCGTCTAACGTATAATTTCCAATGTTTAGTTGAAAAAAGTGCAAATCGTACATATCACTAAAAAATATCATATTTTAGTTAATTCTCTAAATTTAGTACACGTATCTACTGTTAAATACATCTTTACTGAACTAAAATAAAGCATTTGCTCTGACACTGAAGCACGTTTACGTACGTCCTGTGTGATCATTGTTTTGTTTGCACCTGTTTAATTGGATTGTTAAAAGTAATAACACATTGACACAGATCTGTATCGTTTGTGTGTTATTTTCATAGTATAATGTAAATGTTTAACGAATGGCAATGGTTTTTAAACACGTAAACTATGGAAAATGATTAAAGTCAATGCTTATAAAAGTATATTGAAAAATGGAAGAAATAAGATTAAAAAAATAAAACGTGTTTAACCCTGCCACATTCTCGTGCACCTGTCCGGGACGTCCTCAATATTTGTGGTATGCCACATCTCAATATGTTTCGATATATGGAAAAAAAAAGTGTTAACTGCAGATCTTTAATTGTTCTTGCTGAATTCATACACAAATTTTATAAACACAGGATTAGTTAGGGCTTGGTACATTGTATATTGGTCTATTGTTAAAGATTGCATGTTGTCTTCTAATTATCTTTTGGCCGATATGTCGCTGGGTTGCTGTCTGTTTGACGTAGCCTCAAATATCTTTTTATTTATACAGACCAAATATCAATGAATCACCATAAGTGGTTCCCTTTTACTGATCTAACATGTGAAATAGGCAACATTGTCAGTCAAAAGGACCATGAATGAAAGGGTAGAGCCGGTTGAATTCCATGATAATGATATGTGTTAAATGCTAATACAACTGCTAACACATATCCAGTGATCAACCACATTCAAATGTAAAGCAATAGTTGACGCCTTCCTACGTCGCTGCCTGAAACAGCACGGATTATGGCGAGACAAATATTACATTGAGCAAGTAACGTGGTTATTCATATGTTGGTATAGTATGGAACTTATTTGTTATCAACATTGTTCATGCCAGGGTTGGTCTGCTAAATTTTACCTTTTTACATTTGTAGAAGAAAATCATATATATTTATATTTGTGTTTGTTTGTTTTTATTTATTTTACCTCTCGTGGATGTAAGTATGTCATTTCTGTCGCAAGTATCAATCACACATTCTGAAACTTAGAAAAACATAGAATTATTATCCTATATATCAAACTTCTAAAATTCGCTTTCCCATTTACAAACTTGTGTGGACGAGACGCACGTCTGGCGTATTGAATTTTAAGCCTAGTACCTTTTGTTAGCTATTATTCGTGTGTTTCTTTGTCCTATATGTTCTCCCATTTATTTGTATTGTGGTCCTGTCATGTGATGTTGTCGTTTTGGTGTTGTGTTTGACGTTGCCATTAAAGTGGGAGGTTTGGCATGCCACAAAACCAGGTTCAACCCACCATTTTTTTCTTGACAAAATGTTCGCCAGAGGACACAATACCCTAAACAAAAGCTCATACATTTTTGTTTTTTTAGTTTAAACATAAAAAGTAAAGCAACAAAAATACCGAAACTTTAAGGAAAAGTCAAAATGGAGAGTCCCTTATCAAATGACAAACTCAAATGCTCAAACACATCAAACAAATGGATAACAACTGTCATATTACTGACTTGGTACAGGCATTTTCATATTTTATTTACTCAAAGTAAAATGGACTGGACACAAGTAAACCATACTCATGAAGTCCCCTCTGGATAACAATACAATATTGTTATGGCCTTACCATTAAGTATAACCGACGATTGGGCTCAAGCAGAAAAGACTTTCAGGTGCTGATACTATAATTATGAACCAATCTAACTAATGGTAAAAAGCTGGAATACAAAATAAAATACAAATTTACAATGTGTTGAATTGATGTTATGATGAACGAAATGTCAAATATAATTGGTAGCACAGTCCGTTGAATGCGAGAACATGTTGTACTTTCAAGAACAGTTTAATTTCCAGTATTTCACGGAGAAAAGGTTCAAATATGTGAAGAGCAATTTGAAGGCTTCAAATACAATGCTATAAAATTAACTCACTCTGTGTTTAACCACAAATTGCGTCCAAGATGACGTCTGTACGAAATGTTCCTCGGTATCGTAATGACCTTGCAGTTTTCCTGTAATGGATACGTGAGAGACGTAGGAACAGGAAACGATAACTTCGATATTTTGAAGTTCTTATACGGTTTAAAGATGAATAATCCTCCTAGGTCAGGAACACATAAACATATTGAGAATATAATCAAACGGAACTATGTATATTCATGAATGAGGTTACAGATTACTCCCCGTCTGATATCTATCTGATATCACTATTCCATAGATAAATCGCATATGAATATAAATTAAATAAAACCCAACATAAATTGAATATGTACAGGAATCATGTTCACTATTGGTCGTGTGAGAAATGTCGGTTCACAACTTACGACTTTTCAATTTAGAGTTTCTTGGATAAATTTATCCCACAGGAAACTGGGTTCGACACAGTTTCTTGTCTTTTAGAAGAAGGATGTCTCCAACGAGATCACTGTGATCTATGTAATTTTCCATTATTGCTGTTGCGACGGTATGAACGATTTTCTTCAACGTTGATAGACGCCGATGACGGTTGAAGATGGTACTCTGGTAAGTCAAACAAGAGTTAGTACCTAGTCCTCTTCTGAGTTTGCGGAATGGCACATATTTGTGAGCATGGAACAAAATCAAGCGTTTCGTTTTAACGTTCAATCCTGCGGATCTAGTTGCTTTATCTGTGAAGTGGCGACTTCGAGGTTTGATTTGTCGTAGTAGTGTCTGACAAAAGGCGTTACTATATGACGATGTCCAGATAGGATCACTGGTTCCTTTTCACTAAGATCCGAGTCATATTTGACGATACAGCTTCCTACTCGGAGTAGTCATTGCTTGTCCAAAGGTGGATTGAGGTTGGCAATCGGTCTTTGTTTCGGAATAGGTTTTTGTTTGCGAATGCAACTTATTTCTTCTCCGTGAACTTCAGGTCTTGCTGATTCCAGAATGAAATTTGCGTTATCCATAGAATTCTCTAAAGAAGTCACAGATTTTGAATTTGGTGACACAACTGCTGTCCCTATAGAGAAATTCATGAATCCACCAGACTTGGTACTGGGTCCAGGACACTCAGGTAATTGTATGGCATGCGTTTTTGCAACCTTTACATTCGAATTAAAATTTTGGTCGTTTTCCATACCATAGGCTATTTCCGGTCTCAAGGCAAGACGTTGTTCTGGTTCCGTGATTGAGACGTTAGTAATCTAAGTGTTGACTTCAAGTGGAACAGTTTGCTTATCAATGTATGTATTTCAAATTATGACACAACCAAGTTTCATTTTTTGGGCAAATGGAGTTCTGGATGGTCCTAGGCGTTGTTCAGGAACGTGGTTCGCCTCTGTAAGGTCTCTTCCAATTAGCAGTAGAATTTTGCACTGATCATCAAGTGGTGGAATTCTTTCGCTAAGGTCTTTCCAGTGTGCATAATGCAAAGTGTCTCAAGTTGTCTGGATTTCGTCCCGATTATTGGGAATATTATCACATTCAATTATTGTAGGTAGATCAAATTGTACATCACCATGTACGAATTTCATGACGAAATCTCTTCCTCTTTTCCCTGAAGTAGCTACTCTGCCGAAGCATGTTGGTAGAGTGTAGTTTTCCGGCTTTTCTTGTACGTCAAAAATACTGAAGAATTCCGGCTAGGCAAGAGACCGGTTGCTTTGGTCGTCAATGATAGCATACATCCAGATAGTTTTGTGTCTTATTCTTGTGATACACATACACAGGTAATATCTTGGAACAAGATTTCTCACTTTTAGGATCCTTGTAGATATCTGTGCAGGTTGAACCCAGAGGTTAACTTGATTTCAGATGACTCCGTCTGCTCCCCGCCGTAGGCGAAACTAGATTGAGAATGTTCGTGTGGTTGCACCCTTGTTATATGTAGTGCGGTGGTATGTCGTTGACTTCCACGCTCGTTACTACTGATGCTTGCGTTACAATCCCGACTTTTGTGTGTGGTTGACTCACAGCACTTGTAGCAAACATTGTTTTGTCTAAACAGTTCCTTGAGTTCCTCAATTGATTTGGCTCGGAACCTCAGCATTCGTTCAAGGGATGATTTGTCTTGTGTAGGATACAAAGATCTTGTTGTTGACTCCTGTCTCCAAGTTGCTGTTCAACTGCCGTCTTATGGACGTTGATTTTAGAAAACGGCTGAGGTGTGAACCTTGGCGCAGCACTTTTTGTAATTGGTATAACATATGATTCGAAGTTGAACACAGGATCTTTCTTGATCTTCCTGATCTCTCTGATAAATGCAGAGAATTCCATGAAAGGCGGAAAGGCAACGTCGTAATTGGACTTATATGTTGAAGCCCTAGTTATCCACTTCTCCTGGAGTCCATAAGTCAACTTTGTCATAATTGGGTTTATTCCAGACGAAGAGTCGAAATAAGCCAGCAGATATCCCAGCTTGGAATTTTCCTTGTGATATTCTATTTCTGATAGAATATCAGACAATTCGTAAAGACGTGAGTCAATGTTTGAAAGTTGATAAGTTTGTTAACGAGAGACGCCTCCAACATTTCTGGAGAACATTCCGCTCGTCAAGTCTCTGCCACAATCCCTGTATGTCTTAAAATGGGATGTCTAGCAGACTCTGGTCCAAGCCACTTGATCAGTAGATCTTTCTGTTCCGAGTCTGAAACTTGTAACTCGTTTATAACGTTTTTGAAACTAGCTTTCCACGTGTTGAAGGATTCAGCCCGGTCGTTATAGTCCGTTAACCTGGAGAACAGCAGGTCCTTGCGTAGGAGAAATTTAGTTATCTCCGATGTCTGGTTGATATGTTGGCTGTTATCCGTTGGTATGAAGGGTTGAACCACATGTGTTGGTTGGTGTGTAAGAGGCTGAAACACCATGTGTTTGTATGCTAGTTACCGTTCCCAGATCTGGGAATAAAGTAACTTCTGTTGATTTAGCATCTGCAGGCAAGACGGTAGGTTTTTGTGATGGCAAGTTCAATGCCGCGGATGGCACGAACTCTGGTGCTTCGTTACTTAACTCAACAATTGTGGGCCTGTCACTTCCTGTACGACAGCTTGGTCAAGATGTTTATTGACGAAATCTTGCACGCGCTGGAGCGGGTCTTCAGTTTCGTCAGGAAGATCACTTAGTCCTTGACTGTCGTCGTATTCCGGGGCACGTGCTTCAGCTTCTGCAACGGCAGCTTCTCTTTGTGTTTCAAGAAGGTTGATAGCTGCCTTCATTTCGGCTTTTTCTCGAACGACACGTGCGGTCAAATGTGTAAATGTTCAGCTTTCCTACGGGTGGCTTTCTGCTTTCTTATGGGAAGCTTATTGGTCCATCTCTGTCTGTTTACGGGAAGCTTCTTGGTCCATCTCTGCCTGTTTACGGGAAAAAAATTGAAAACAACACGTTTAATAATTTCATGCGTCCGAAGCGCTTTTCTGGATTTACCTTCATCAGGAACGCTCAAGGCCAAACATTTGAAATGTATAAGTACCGAAACAGTTTCTTTTTTTTATAATTTCAAAATTTATAAACGGACAATTTTAGAAAGGTTTGTTATAAATCATGACAGTACCGAAGTACTGACTACTGAGCTGATGATACCCTCGGGGACTGATAGTCCACCAGCAGAGGTATCGACCCAGCGATGTAAAAAATTGAAAACAACACGTTTAATAATTTCATGCGTCCGAAGCGCTTTTCTGGATTTACTTTCTTCAGGAATGCTCAAAGCCAAACATTTGAAATCCGAGGATGTATAAGTACCGAAACAGTTGAAGAGCTATATGGTAAAAATACCTAAAACAATTAGCTAAATTCATCTAAGGTCAGCTTTGCCTGAGGGAGTTGAAACCTTAGTTTCTTTTCTCGGTCCATCTCTGCCTGTTTACGAGAAGCTTCTTGTTCAATCTCTGCCTGCCTATAAAGGACCTGTTCCTCCATTATAGCTTCCTGTTCGAGGATAAGGGCCTGTTTTTCAGCAAAGGCAATATTTTGTTCTGGCAGCTTCTGCTTTGGCACGCTTCCTCCGTGCTAGGCTAGACATAACGGATACGTTGGAACGTCTCGCTCTTTGATGTCCTTGTCT